CCTCATTTTGAGCTGTCACTGACCACAGCTATCGCCGGTTAAAGTGACAAATGTAACTGGCAGCAGCTCAGCCAAAGGTCCTTTGTGAGGGAAGAGCCTCCACTGAACAGAGCGATACGTCTTTTCTAGTAAAACATTTCGGCTGATCACATCATGTTAATGTCAGGAGTTTCATAGTCAGCTGTATTTGTGAAAGGAAAGATATTTGAAATCAACAATACATTTTTATTTTATTTAGGATAGATTACCTGAAATGAAAACATGCCAAAATACTGACTAGCTACATTAACTAACCTAGAAAGACACAACTTGATTTTAAACAGGGAAAGGAACCTGAGTAATCCATACATGGAGCAGGAATATGAAGTCAACACATTTGAAATGAAAGCTTTGCTTTTTATTCGAGCAAACAGAAGGATTTTGTTCCAATCAATCCCCCCTCTTATGGGAAAACCAAGTACAAAAGCACTTCTATTGACCAGATTCCAAAGTCTCAATATCCCATAGACAAAACACAATAGCTTTTTGATTGCTACTGTAGCTCTGTCCAACACAGACTCTCATCACACTTTATCAGTTTAGTGTGTATGTTTACTCCCAAGAAAGATCTTTTCCCCCAATCCCGTCCCCATATTTGATTTTATAGCTTTCTGCTTCCACTGTCGACGATATTCCCTAGCCTGGTTTGCCGGCTGGCGAGCTGAGATCCCTCTGAATGTGGAGAGGAGCTGATGGGAGAGGGGGTTGGTGAGTTGGATAGAGAAATGGATTCCTTTTGAATAATGCAATAGTGAAACTGGGCAATATGACCACCATGTGATCTCCTACAGAACAGAAACAACTGTGGATACCAGCCCATCTGTGCTTGTGAATTCATCTCGTATGAAATGTCAGTTAAATCAAAGTGAGAGCTTGAGAAAGAGTCTGGCAGCCATTTTTTGGGGATAAATAAAACATGGCAGAGATGACTCCATTGCCCTTTATTCCTCTCTCACTCTCTTTGTCTGTTGTATCTTGAGTTTTTTTCCACTTATGGTCCAGCCAAGAAGCGTTTTTTGGCAGCAGGGTCGTGTTTTTCCCAAGAACTTTGCATGAAATTCAGGATGCAGGAAGGTTAGAGTGGGAATTATCCAACCCAAACTACTGGACCATGATGTAAGGTCGATCAAGCGTCTGTTATCTGCTTTGCGTGTGAATGGAGAGTGTTGGCTGGCTCCAGGCTGACCCGTGACATGGCTAACAGCGTTGTCATGTCAGTGTCACAGCATGAGGTACATGTATTGATTTCCCCCCGATAGCCTTATAGTCTATAAGGATCTCAATGATGTTTCTAAATAAAGCCGTTTATCCAATTAGTTTGTACGATTAAAGAAACGTATGTTGAAGGCTGGTATTATTCTGTATTTGTTCCTGATGCTTTTATACAAGGTTTTTGTTTTTTTTAATCAATCTAAAATCCACATGCAATTTAAAAATTGTTTTAAAATTGGCTTCAGTTGAAATGTGACCATCAATCATGAATAGCTCTTTTCAAACAGCAATGACTTACAAAGACATGCATTAAAGGTGGGGTATGTAATTTATTTCAGAAACACTTTTTGTTATATTCCATTGAATTCTCTTAACATCCCGATAGCAATGAATATATTAAATGCTTTGACAATAAATACATAAAAAAAATTCATTTGTGGAAGCTGTAAAAAGCATGACCAATCATTTTAGCCGGCCCGGCTAAAATAACTGGATGGCCTACCTGCCTGTCAGCCTTCCATCTGTGCACAAACTTATCTCGTGCCCTCATTGGTCATGTGCGCGTTCGTGTGTGTTGGAGGAGGGGCTCTGTAAGGAAGTCTGAAGGAAGAGGCAGATTTTTTTCGGCTGCGTAGTTTCAAATTCTAGCGCACTCGAGCTGGTTTCTCCAAAATTACATACCCCACCTTTAACAGTCAAAAGGAACTCAAGGAGAAAACCTCACAAAACTACCGTCCTCCTGGCTACACTCAAATGTGACACAAAATACAAGCATGTAGAAACATATCCACCGTGGCACTTCTTCACCCTTTCACTCCCAACAATCTGTCTCTACTAATCACACTGAGACTCCCTTATGTTTAATCTGCTGCTTAACATTCGATCAGCCTCTCCATGAATCCACCTGTAGGCACAGATTCTAGGCTTCTCCTCTGGGGTAAATTTGGTCTCGTCACCTCGAGTTCTCACAGTGTGCTAAGCTTTCAAATGTATGCTTGCAGCGCTGTGATAGGATCCCCTCCATGCAAGACATCAAGAATACATTTGGATTACTGAATTTTAACCTAGCTTTTGATTGAGAAATACATGTAAAACAGCATGGGAGGCTAATATGGTTATGTTGCTTGAGAACTTCATTCATATTTCAACCATGCTTCCTGATTTAGCTTCGCCAGTATGTTTTTCATTATTTGGGCTGTTTTTGGTGGAGTTTGGCTTTTTCATTTCATTGCATAAAGTATTTGACTGTTGACATCCATATTATTGCACAACATAAATATTTATTTCACAGCCTGGCAGAGAGCCATCACAGACACCACTTTAAACCTGGCAGATGTATAACAACATACTACCTATGCAGCTTGTGAAAACGACATTGTGTATGCAAAGGCTCATTCCAGTTTTGTGCTGCACTCACAACATTTGTGTTTCTGCCAAGAAAAGGTTACTCCTTTTAAATACCGTGGGACATTTTACATGGAAATGCTGGTCTTGTAAATACAATGTGCAGTCGATTTTCAAAGGTTATTTTCAACGGCTTTTAGACTCACTTTTTATAAATAAATGACAAAAACCCTCCTGATCTCTACATGCAAAGTTGGCCTGAAGATACATATGCATAATCTAATATTTATGCTATGCAAATTTAAAAGTTGAAGCTAATTTCAGAACTTGGGATGCAAAAACTAAAACCTTGGGGCTACTTAACTAATTGACTTGCAAATGCATCTTTGTTTGACTGCCATGTGAGCTAAATGGATGTCAATAGGTCAGGAGAGCTTCACCAGAAGAAAAGGAAAATATTTCAGGATGATCTTTATACTGACCGAATACAAAACAGTTTTAGATATTGCATAAGATTTCTGTTATCAGATAAATAAATCATGTATGTGCATCACCACAGAAACACACTGCGGTTCTATTTAATGTAAAACAATAGTTTAGGCTAAAGAAATGAGCAAAATAGGACATACAGTCACACCTAAGTTTTGATGGGGAAGCAAGGGACAAGCCCCAGGCAACATTTTGAACAGCTGCATTTGACCCCTTAATAAAAACACAGATTTTGCAACCTTTTAAAAAAAATATATATATATATACACACATGCCTCCAGGAAAGAAGATGGCAGTATGAACCTCAAAGCATTGGTTGTAATCTGCCATAAAACGTAAAGATGAAGGAGAGATGTAAAAGCTCCGCTGCTTTAAGAGGAGTCCTGGGGGAGGAATGGAGTAAACACGGCAGAAGCTACTCTAATTACAGCCACAAATTAACGAGAGAATAAGATAACCTGAAAATGCGGAAATCTATAGTATATATATATATATAAAAATCAAGTCATAATATTATGAGAAGAATCTGTTTTTTCAAGAATAAAGTCATAATAGCCGTTGCTTCAGGGCTGATGTGCATGTTTGAGTTTTTCCTTACAATTCATGGTTTCTGTAGCCTACAGTTATTTGACTTATTTTAAGAGTTTGTCTATCTTGTGACCAGAAGCCCTGTGTTATTGTCTTTGCGTCACCCTCACTTATACACCTTTGCTCTGTTGTCTCCAGACTCAAGGATGCTTTGCAATGAAAAGCCTGAGGAAGCGTCTGTGTGCTGCTCTCAACCGGAGTAGGTCAAGTTTACATTTATGTGGAAGACAAGTCAAATAATAGTTACTGACTTGCTAACGTTGTCTCATCCAGAGACATACATTAACAGTACTGTATCTGTGGAGATGGGAGCAGAGTTTCTGTAAAATGACAACCTTTATTTCTCAAAATCTCCCTAATATGAGCCCTTTGAGTCCATTGGTTTAGCAATGAATTAAAACAAATTAAAGTGTCATGGACATGAATACCACATGCACATCCAAAGAGGATCCATCCCCAAACAAAAAAAGACAAGAGGACAGAAGAGTGAGTCATGCCTGTGTGTGTGTGTGTGTGTGTGTGTGTGTGTGTGTGTGTGTGTGTGTGTGTGTGTGTGTGTGTGTGTGTGTGTGTGTGTGTGTGTTGACTCAGCAGAGATACCACTAAATGAGAAAAGTTGATCCAGGGGAGAATAAATATTTGTAAGAAATACTGAATGCCTTACTGCATTATATTTATTTATTTTAGATATTAGTTTTGTTGAATTGTCCCCTGGTGTCAATTGACATGTCCACCATAAATGGAGGCACACCGGTGCATACACACCTTAGCATCATGTTGACAACAACAATGCATTTGCTCAAACTTACAACTAAAATAATATATTTTTAAATGATCCCCTTGCAAAAGTGGGGACATGGCTGAAACATGAAATGGTACAGTATGATCTCTCCATACCATTTATAACGTTGCAAAGGGCACCAAAGCATATATGTTGTCTGAGCAAAACGGCTCCCAAAACTAATTTAACATTTCAAATTTGTGTAAATCACAGTGTGTTAAAACTCGACTCAGTTTTAATGTTTTTAAACCATCCAACAAGACAACACTTTGGACAACTCAAATGCGGTAGCTTGTGACACGTTACAAATAAAAACGTGTCATTCAAATGCAAGCTAAAAAACGTCTTACTTTTGAGATACAACCACGCGGGCAAACACAAACTGTCCACACCGGTTGGACTATCACTTTTCAGAAGCCAGACACCAAAAGCCCAGCTTCAAACAGCTTCTCGGGAGCACACACGCCTCTTTTCTCGAGTTTAGTCTCGGAGGCTGAAGCCCCAGGGATGAACACCGTCCGCTCAAAGAGTGTTTGTGTCGGCTTACCTCTGGCTAACGTGGCCGGGACTCGCGAACCGAGAAGCACGAGGATGCCAAAACTCAGGTAGCATCCTCCCGAAAACTGTCCCATCACTGCCCGCGTCTCCCTCCCCGCCGGGTCGGGGGCCACTGGGCTCGGGTGTCCATCTTCTGTCGTCTGCGCGAGGCACCCCCGAACGCGGTACCGTGGCCCCGGGGGGGTCGCTGTGTCCAGGTGTGAGGGGCTGCTTACTGTCCGCCAGGAGAGAATCGCAGTGCGGAGGGAAAGAGGAGGAAAGTGGCGCGGAGCTCCGAGTCCGCTCTCTGCTGCGTGAGAGTGGGTGAGAGCCCGACAGTTCCCAGGCTGTCTGAGGGGGGGAGCGAGAAAGAGAGGGAGACGGGTCGCATCCAAACCCCTGTGGACCTGTTGAACAATTACAAAAGTGTGCGCATGTGCCTCGTTTGTGCAGAAACAACACAGGCGGTTCGAGACCGATCATACTCAGGGCGGGGGGGGGGGACATGCTGGGGCCAGTTATTTAATTAATATTGTTTATTTATTTTTCTACCTCTTATATCTGCACGGCTTTCCACTTATTATACCAATACTGCACATATGTTTTACTAATTAATCTTGAGCATAACCTAGGAGCATGTTCCATGATTGCTGTCCAATTACCAATTAGGCAGAGAGTAGTTCAGACGACTTCTCTCCAAATGTTCATTTAAAAACCTTTTCACGCATAGAGGCTACTACAGTGGACAGCTTTTCAAAAGGTGTTTTCTTGTATGCATGGGTTTTGATGGCATAGTTGCACCATCAGCCACTACATAGGACCCTATTGCATCGTCCCATACACTGCCACTCAGTGGAAAGTCAGTGTAAGTGCATGATACATTTCTCTAAACCAAGATGGACGACAGAAAACCAGATGGACGAAGGCTGCGTTTCACTTCGGTTAAATGAATTCCTTGCGTCCCTCACTTTCGTTGTTTCCCTGCGACTAGTCCCTCCCACCAGGGAAGCATGGAGAGACGCAAGGAAACCACGAGAAGCAGGGAAATGAGTTTTAAGAGCAATGGGACGTCCTTTCCTCCGGAGCGTCAGGTGAAGCGACGTCCGTTTGTGATGACGCTGCACAGCTGATCGTCTGACATTAGCTCTGTCCCCGTTATTTTCACAAACACCCACGCCTCTGTTAGTACACATTTACTGACACAAACATTTGTATCATCTGTTGTAGACCTGTTCATCGAAGGATGGTCTGGTGGTTCCTCGATTATAGCTCCTCCATTATCGCTCCTCGGTCCTCCGGCAAAAATAAGGCCATTGGGAGGCTACTCAAGATGGCGCAGACAAATCAACTTCCGGTGAGACCGAGACCGAGGAGCGAGGAAATGAAAAATAAGAGAAGTGAAACGCAGCCCAAATCACTCGTCGATATCTTGCCAATCCTTTTATGGAAAGCGCCCCCTGCAGGTATAGAGAGGCGAAGTGCCTCCCCTTCCGGTTGAGCTCCATGGGACCTTATTTCGGAAAAGTTATGCATTGAAGTCAATGGAGAGAGAAAGATTATCTTTCGATCCCGTTTGAATTGTGCCACGAATTACACATATGATGTTTGTCAATTTAAAAGATAATTTTACAAGTCAAAAAAATAAAAATGTGTCGTAAAACTGTGAAGTAACACTTTTTTTGTGTGAAACCGCTCAATGAACTACATCTCCCGTCTCGCACCACACACCAAGACGGCCGTCACGTTGGCACATTTCACCTCTTTCTTTCAGAATGAGGCGAAAAGTATTAAAAGAGGTGAAAATCACCACAAGTCTGGGCATGTTGAGAGCTGTACATACACACAAGGGGAGTTAGTCGGTTCCGTAAGAGCCAGCATGCGGGACCGGGATTCTGGGATTTGTAGTCTTTCTAGTTGCGTATTTTTCATAGTCTTATATTTCAACAGTTTTACGACAAACTGTGACTTTTTTGACATGGAAATTATTATTTAAGATTGACAAACATCTATGTGTAATTCATGGCACAATTCAAACGGGATCGAAAGATAATCTTTCTCTCTCCATTGACTTCAATACAAACTTTTTCCGAAATAAGGTCCCATGAGTCCCACCGGAAGGGGAGGGACTTCGCCTCTCTATAACAATGTTGGTGACATCAAGTAACAACTAAGGAATCATATAATTCATAAATTGTCAAAGTATTGATTTTATGTTTGCAGGAAATTATGATTAATCACCTGTCCACTAAAGTGGACGTCATGCATCACTGGCTATATTTCAACTACAAGTCATACTGTTACTGCTACTGTTGTTCTTGAAAATACTTCATTTGCAATATCTTTTTGGGCCGTGAATCAATATACTTATGTTATTATAATGTCATTTTAAGTTTGCACATCTTTATTTATAATTTGTTCCAAATGTAAATGTCTTCAGTTCAAACTTTAACGCATACTGTCCACCTGAGTGGACATATAAAAAAGAAAAATTCTAAATTTGAAAAAACTATAAAAAGAAACTAAAGTTAAAATCTTGTTCTTCATGCCCCAAGAGCAATACAAACACTCCTGCCTGAGGTTTTCATAATTCATGCATGAAAGGAATGATTTAATTAGTCCTATAGCTTTATTGGACTGATCAGGGTGAAGGAATACACAAGTGGTGGTGGAGGAGATAATTGGATCCTTTAAGTAACAAAACTTACACCTAAATAAGTAATCAAAGTATTAATTTTCTTTAAAATATACCAATAAAAGCTCTGTACAGTATATGCTTCAGTAGGCTTATACAATGATATATACCTCTGAGAGTCTGGAGCCTTCTCTGTAAAGGAATACTTTCAGAGGGATATAATATTGTGCAACATTTGATATAATACTGAAGCAAAGCCATTATACAGTACATAGGCATAGGTTGAAAATTCCCCCATAAGCGAAAGTCTAAACCGTGCTTTAGTACAACGTACATTAGCTACTTTTACTTTAAAGATACTATGCAGGCATAATGTCACAGTTACACAGTATTTAAATGTGGTAATTAGCTGAGCCCGAGCTCTTTTTTTAAATAGGCCTATTTTTGACCTGTTCAATTGGCTGTAAAATAATGCACTTCTCATCATATTTGTCATGAGTGGGTAAATCAGGCAACCAAAAAACAAATGCAGACAAACACACACAAGGCAGCAGGTATGATAAAAGTAAATGTACAGGAGGCAATGGTCAGGAACATGTGTCAACGAGATGGCAGTCCAAACATTAAAACAAATGCAAGACGTCTGAGCAAGTGAGCAGGCCAGGAACAGCTGGCTCAATGAAGAGGCTGTGGAGAACATAACACTGACACTCTGGAACTAACTGGGGAGAAGGGGCTGGGAGGGGAAATGAGACACATGTGAGCAGCTGGATGTGGTAAACATCCGAGTGGGACAGGTGGAAAAGCCTGAGGCCATCTGGTGGACAGGTGGAGAATTGCAAATTCAGCAAAGGGTCAGAATGAAGGTGGCCTCGGGAAGACAATATGTGATATAATGATAACAGGTATAATATTAATTTGTAAAGGAACTAGCTATCCAAAATGTAGTTCTCCCTGGATGGTTAACCTCTTAAGCCCTGAGCCTGTTTTTCAGGTCTCAGGCTCGAAAATGACATTCCCAGAACAAATGACCATATCTTCCCTTCTAAAAGGGTTAAATTAATAATCTTTATTCTCAAAGTAATGATAAACCTGTGAGTTGGATGTAGAAAAGTCAGAATCAATATAGATGTTTTTTATTTTAAAGAGAATTCAGATTTTACATAGTAAAAAACTGTAAATTATAGTGTCCGTCCAAAGATAATTTTTTACTTATAGTGAAAACTACCCTTGGATGATGGATTAGTAGAGTAAAAGCTTTAGGAATCCAAAGTACAACAAATAATAAGTACCTTGTATCAAGATTGATGCAAAACAAGTGAAATTTGACCTTTTTAGAGAGATTTAGCCAAAAAACCCCACTTCTGGGGTCATTTGGGTGGATTTGACCTATCTCCCCCTTGGTCGATTTTGATGAATGAAATCTCTTTATAACCGCTAGAGCCAATGGAATCGAGGGAAAGTTCTTTACACACCAAAACGTTAACAAATAAGGAGTGAGAGTGACGCGTTACCAAAACCGGAAGCTGCATACACTCTGGTGGCTACCATTAGCAGCTAACTTTTCCGCTCCGATTTTTACATAAAAATGGAATTATGGATTATAAATAATTTTTTCAAAGGCACAGGTACATTATCAACCTATGGATCAACAGTTGTAGCATTTTTTTTTTCTCGTTTTAATGCCATTGAACACGTCTTTTGACCTAATTGACAGCTACGGTGAGACGATCTGCCGTAAAAGCTCCGTAAAGGTACGTGTTGTGATGTCTGTGTTTGCTTCCCCTGTCGCAAGTTCGGATCGCTCAGTGATGATACTATACCTAAATAATCAGTGGAGTCTCAGCTTTAATCGGATATATTGTATGTGCAGCTATGATAAGTAATAAGGGTATCTTTATCTTGAATTGTGTGCCAAAGTCAGTTTGCATCTTTTCGCTCAGGGGTCATTTAGACGCTTCTTATGAGACTTGTGTTTTGTTTTGGTAAAAATGGTTCATATCTTCAGTTAGCTGAGATTCTTCCCGTTAATCTGGTGCTACACATTAATAGTTTCATAAATGTTAAGAAGCCCTGAGACATTGTCTCGAAAAAAAAACGGTGGGAGGGGTCCAATGGGGGAACCGTCGTGCTTAAGAGGTTAAAATATTCAAATAGAGTCCTTAAGCTCAGTGAGTACACTTACTTTTCACCACTGCATATTCTTTGGTAACGTAGTTTAATCAATAACAATGCACGGTATTCTCTAAATTAATCATTAAACATTTGAGTTTCGCTTTCAAATTAGTGTGCAGTAAAATACAATATTTCCATTAGAAATGTAGTGGAGTTTATGAAGTAACATTAAATGCATATACTCCAGGAGAAAATGATCCTTACTTCAGTAAATTCTGCCACTGCTGATCTCACATGAGAATAGAGTGAAGAGTCTTTCTTTTATCGACAGCTATCTGCTATTGAAACCTATTCAGATAACAATATAGCCCTCAAAGACTGTAGAAGTATCCATTTATACTGAATCATTTTCAAGCTAGCTTATCAGCAGCACATGTTAGACACACATTCGGTACCATCCAGAATGTGTGTCTATTCTTTTTTTTATGTAAATCACTGCAGTTTGACCTTCTGTGACATAATTACCCTATTGACCAGACATTCAGTGCTTCATTTCCCAGAGTTCTT